CCTCCAAGACTTATCTAACATGCAGAAGAGCCCCGTAACCATGACAACGGGGTGTTTAAACCAATCAGAAGCCGAGGCTGCAGAAAATCTAGGATAAGAAACAGAGTCACAGCAGAGGTCGTTGCATTTTGCTGGAAGATTGGCGCTGATGCAGGTCTGTCTGAGAAATGCCCTTTTGTATGCATACAAATGTATTTGTTTTTGATCTTCTGAATACTTGTAATCCGTTGTCAAATAAATCTTTTGAACTAAGGTACCGCTTCAGCTGTATTGAACGCCAATGTGGTTCTTATAAGCCACGACAATTGGTGACCCACGACGTAGCAGCTGAAGGGACCACGAATTGGATCGAGAAGGTGCTGAACTCCCACATTGTGAACTTCTGGGCCCTACTTCAATTAAAGGTAAGCGTGAGTTACCTATGTTAGCTTCGGCTCAAAAACTCCGCATTTTAGGCTGTAAACTAAATTAAATTCTTCCTCTGTGGGTGTTCGCACCATCTCCTGAAACAGGCATTTGGTAAGCTAATTTAAACTTATTTGTGAAACTTCAGACGTACAGTTTACTTGTATTCAGATCTGGGTGGTTTTATAAACGCGCGGCGCGTGCGTGTATTACGGTGTGGTGTTTTGTACACGGCTTAGTTTAAAAGTGTGTGTTTAGTTAAATAGATTCACAAGTTTTACTTGTGGCCGGAGGAAGGCGGGACGGCCTGCCGGTGGGTCCTAAGGGGACCAAAAAGCATTTCCCTGAACAGCGGAGCTGGCCGGCAAACCCTTAATTTGACGGAATTAAGGTGCACTCATCCTTGAGTGAGGCCGAGGCGCAGGTACTCCTCGTCACGTGTTGACTGCGTGGCTAAATGTACTTCATTTCTTAGATAGTTTTACAGGGAAATGTTTTAGAATAGAGGGTTTACCAAATTTCAACTGATCAAGGATCAGGGTAGTTGAAGTAGTTATATTGTTTTAGTGTGTGTGCCGTGCGCTGCGTCTCTGTCAAGGGCATTTTTTTTTCTCTTCTTTCTTCTTCTGCTCTGCGTTTCTCTTATCAGCGTGTGGGGGCGAAGCGAACGGTTGCTTTTCTCTTTTTTTTTCTCTCCGTGTGTGTGTGTGTGTGTGTGTGTGTGTGTGTGTGTGTGTGTGGTAAAGCACTCGTGTGGGGGGAAGGGAGCGTTTCTTTGTTCCGAACACACGAGGTGGTGAAGGTTTATGCGTGTTTTGGTTTGTCTTCCTTTCTGCGTCAGAGGTGTCTTGTGTGATCAGTGCTTCCGTATCCTGACCGGAAGGGGGCGCTGTTGTATAGGGCAAGAACTAGTCTGGACACTGGGTTGTTGCATACCAGACTTGTATTTGTTTTATTACAAACTGCGGCCAGAAGTGCATGGAAATAACATATTTGAATGCCTGGGTGTGTGAATGTTGTTATCAGGTGTGGGACTCATAAATGTGGTACAGGTGAAGCCTGTGGAAAATCTACAGGAT